GGCTTGACTGGCTTGGGACGACAAGACTAGACTCATTGGCGCCCCTTGGCTTTACCGAGCGGAAAACGGGAGTGGAAGTGATTTGGGTGGTGTGGTTGCGCAGACAAGAGAAGTCGGCTAAACATGGGAGGCCGGCCTAGAAGAGCGGTACGTACCCCAATTTTGGGTGGGTACGGGACAGATCAGGGGTGCACAAGTGGGTGTAGGATATGCATTGAAAGGGGAGAGACCTTGTGGAGAGGGGGAAGACAGAGTGAGAGAGAGTCGAAGACTGGAAATCATTTGCCCATTCACTCCACCTGGTCATGACTGACCACTTAAGAGTCGGAATGAGTGAGATAGCACGACAGCAAAAACCATGCAGTAGAATGGGCAGACAGTGCAGGAAGGTGCCTCAAGCGCTTGCTTTGCCCGATGGTTCGTTGTCTTCATTTGCAACTTGACATTCGCAACAAGACAACTCAGAAACACACCTGGATACTTGAAATCAGTTCGTTTCCAGTCCAGCCCAGCCGGTGAGCCACTGAACCAACCCGAATCTGCAAGGAGGTCGGTCGAGCGAGATGAGTCGATTCAAAACCGCTCGAGGAAGCAGAGAGGGCAAGGTAAGCTTGGTTAATTTCGGTGGGGTCGATCATCAACCAGCACCAAGACTGCCAATAGTCGTACGCAATGCCAATGCTTGTCCTCACATGCTGGGCTTCGTTGTCACTGTCCAACTGTTCCTGGGCGGACGTGCCTGTTTGACGGCGGGGATGGTTTGCTTGACGTGCAGCCGTGATCCGAGATTCCAGACCGCTCCTGTCGACCGTCCTAAGTATTCGTATCTTTTATTTGACTGCAGAATGCGCTGCAGTCTCCCTTGTCGTGCTATTCGTGGCTCACGATGCCTGGACGCGCCCGACACACTGATGGTTGGTATTGCCATCCACCAGTCTGTGATTCCAGCTGCATTTCTGACCTGGTGCATGCTGCAGCCGCTGCTGACGGCTGACTGTGACTGCGTCATTAACGGCAACCAAGTGCGCGAATCAGGTACCAGACATTGCACTAATGCAGGTACCGTCTGTCGCTGCCGTCGATAAACATTCCAGTGCTTCAGGCGAGATCGGCTGGGCCAGCTGTGCACACTTTCGGAGCCGCGGGCCTGGCTAAATCGACCAAAAATAACAAGACCGAGACCAGGCGCAGCCACCATGAGTCTCCGGAAGCTAGACATCGCGTGGCGGCTGGAAAACGGCCTTATCGAAAGCCACGGCTGGCCGAACCCGACCTCATGTGGAAAAGACATGAGACTGCCGCGAACCCTAGCGATACCGGTAGGCAGGCTCGCATGCTTGTTGGCCACGGCATGGCGACAATGGCCAGCCATAGGCGCCATGAGCTTTGTGCGTTTGCATGGCGTGAAACCGTTGATGAGACTATTGTCCTGAACAATGCTGTGTCCAGGTTCGCAGGTAGGGCTGCCGTCTTGGTGGTGTTCTCTAGGTACGGATAGAAATGCATGGTCAAGGAGGTAGGTTAGCGGAGACGGCGAGTCGGGTTCACCGGGTACCTGACTGTTAGCACTCACCCGACCTCACCTGCCATCCAGCCGGAAAAATATGCCGCAGTCGAGTCAGGGGCCCCAACCCGACCTGTCCTTCACCCTGGACTTGCTGGTACCTTAGTATCCGTAGGGCCAGTGCCTTCTGTCTTCTCAATTTCCCGATATCCCACAGTGATCCAGCATTCCCTATCAAGCACTCATGCCCGTTGTACCTAGCCAGTGCCATTGGCTAGGCAGGTAGAGAGGCGTCATCCTCCTCGCTAAAATTGATACCTTCTCTGGCGTTTCCGACCGTCATATCTGCATGCCTCAGAAGGATCTGGCAGTCTGTTGACAATGACTTCCATTGTCATTGACCCAAGACAACCACGGCAAGCCCAGAACTTCCATGGAAGGGACCAAGCACCGGGTGGAATCCCGGACGAGTCCGAATTCAGACGAAAGCCCCGTGATTAGGCCCTGTTTCGTCTGACCACCCAGCGCTTAGACCAAAACATTGGACGAACTGCAAACCTGCATTGCAAAGAATTGAGAAAACATTGGACGGCTGTCATCACGTCTCCCCCTCGGGCAATAGGGAAGCCGCGGGCAGCTCGTCCCCCGCAAGACGACCAGGGCCTCCCGCATGAGGGCCTTTTACCGCGCATGTCAGAGTCTCATCAGCACAGGGGGCCAGCCCAACGGTCCCCCGGATCCCCAGGACCCTTTCCTTGCCATCGAAGATGAGTTGAAGCAAGCCAGCCGGGCCCTGACTGTCACTGTTCTGGTTTCGACAGCCAACAGTATTGATTGTCCTTGCTTTTGGCGGGGACAAAGGCGGAGACCAAAATACAGTTATCGCTCGGAGGAAATCAAGATGATCAGCCGTATTCGTCAGAGCCGATATCAAGATCCAGTGGCACGTTGCAGAGATGAAAACCGCGGGCACCGATTCACGGACCCCAAATACGGCCAGCGACACCATCGAAGTTGAGGCAGTGCGCATATTGCAGATAATTCGGGCTGGACGGGAACCCGATTGAGGCACACTCAACGGTGATGGCGGCTTCTCTGCGGGCTTGGCCATCCTCCTCGTATCATGCCACGCGCTTTTTCTGTAGGTGCCGTGACCTGGAAAGCTTTTTCCAGGATCCCATCCGTTGACGACATCTTTTCAAAGGCATCCTGCAGCGTCTTCGTAGCCAAGGACCGGGCGAATGGCGAGAAATGGCACACCAAGGCGCCGACCATTGGTGATGGTTCTGCTGGGTTGGACCAGGCTGGGCGGCCCAGATGGAAGCGATCCCGGTTGTCCGCCTCTGTTGTATCTCGAGAGCCACCGAGGGCTTAGGAACGGCTGCTCCGCGCCTGGCCGTCGGCATGGCTTGGCCTGGACATGAAGCTGTCGACAAGTTTTAGCGAAAAGCCTGCAAAGCATAACTGGCGAGAACCCAGAGAACACGCAAGCACCGACGCCGGCCCAGCTTCCCGCCGCGGGTCGTTCGCCCCCGGTGGCCAGGCGGCCTGCAGATGGTGCCCGGTGGTGATGGTGGTGGTCTGTGCCGCAAATATGGGCTGGCCTTCCACATCATCTAATTTCCACAATACACAGACCTTGGACGACTCAGATGAACTATTGACCGATCCTCATCATTCCACCCCTCCTCCTTCTTCCTGCTCCTACTCCTACTCATCCCCTTCTTTCCACGCTGTCAGCTCACATGTGGTACGTGGCACAGGAAGCGGATGGCATCGTACCTGCAGCATCTTCTTCCTGCTTTTGGGCTTCAAGGAAGGCAATGGTCCGAGATAACCTCGTCGACCAGGCATAAAGGCGCCCCAAGTCCATGTCGCGTCATCATTTTTCTCCTTGTGGATGTTTTGGCGCCTTCAATTCAATATTCCCGGCCTTCGTTTTTCTCTCGATTCACCTCGTATCCTTCCGATTGGTCCCACTGGTTGTCACATTTCCGAGAAGATGCTGCACTCTCCGGCCTGCCGAAATTGACAGCTGCCATTCCCAAGGATCATTATCCTGTCACCATCTTTTGATAGGCTCAGAGTTCCTCTTCTTTCAGCCCAAGTTACAGATTCTCCGCTTAGCACAGGATTTCTGGGGTAGAGTCGACAGTCTTTCGGCTGCCTGAGCCGGCCGCACATCACATCCGTGCCAAACCCCAGGTGAATCATGTCAGTTCTCTTGTGTGGGCTAGTCGCTCTACTGTTCTCATCACATCGCCTTCTGGGAGTGCGGTGGTTATTTTCAACTGCGAGTATACGATTACCCGGCCGACAAACATCAGGACTCTATGGGAAGTATGAGTTGGTCTGTCGGTTGATGAAATCCAAGTGGAAATCTAAGGACAACGCTAGCCACTCATCACGGCCGCCTGAGAAAACATCTTCATTGCGAGACCATCGTTGAGAATGTTTTCAAGTTGATCGTTTAGCAGGCAAACGCGGTCTTTTCCTGGTGGGTGCAGTCTGACAAAATCACTCTTCGAACCAAGTCCGCCACCCACCACAGGCCGGCCAGTCTCAAGGAGAAAAAAGCGTTGCCTAACGAACTTACCGCGTAGCAGCTGGGAATGGGTCCACTCGTCTGCTTGAGCCAACGTTTCGGCCTGGCCCTGAAAGTTCTGAAGGCTCTCTAGGCTCATCTGCTTCGTAGAGAAATCCTCATGAGCCACTGTCTGAACCAGTGCTACAGCTTGTCCTCGTGCCTCGCACGTCGAAAATCCATCTTCGTTGGCTTCGAACCAGCGGTGCTATTCAGCTACAACGATGTCTCCTCCGCAATTATAGAAGAAGGAACACTGACAACTACACAAGGATTCATTTCAGCCATGATCCTGAGCAGAAAGTAGTTGCCGTCAACGCGACCGCGAATGCGATGCAGCCTGTTCCCAATCAAAGACCCACCGATCGAAAAGCATCCCCAATATCTGCAAATTCTCCTAATAAACTACGATTGGCGAGATGAGCATCAATGACCAACCAGAAGGCCAGCCAGCACGACCGTTGCGAGAACGAATCTACCTAAGACCAGTTCCTACCCCGGTAACTTGTCGGATGTGCATGTGTGGGTGCTTGCGATATCGAACCCTGGCTGAGCACCTCAGATAGGGCTGGATGGCGATCAACAACGGTTGTTTTAGGTCGGAGGGTCCGCCCGCCTGCGGGCGGGGACGGGACGGGAATGTCGGTCTTGATCGCCGCGCGAGCTCCACGACCACATTTGGCGGCGCTCCGACTGTGTGTATTAGTAAGTGGAACAGGACGGAACCGCGGAACGTCATTCAGCACTCGGGGTGAGGGGCACCGGAATTCGGCGTCACTCCAGCTCCATCGATAGACAGCCCCAAAGAGCGGGAAATTCATAAAACACTGCTTTTCTGAACGCGTCATTTCTCTATCAGTTCCTTGGGGTATTCCGTTGTACGAGTGAATTGACGTGAAAATGGCTTCAAAAATGAGAGCTGTCGGTAAGCGGTCCTGCGGCCATAGTCCCACTTCGCCGGCTCACAGTTTCACAGACATCAAGGACGGCAAGGGTCCGAAGGAGAACCTTTTCATCAACGCCGACACCCCGAAGCCGGCACCGGGCAATGGCGAGGCTCTCGTGAAGATCAAGGCTTTCGGCATCAACCGCATGGACCAGATCCAACGCATGGGCAACTACCCGCTCCCGCCCCAGGCGCCCAAGACCCTCGGCGTCGAGTTCAGCGGCACGATCGAGTCCTTTGGAGATGGTGAGCACGGCAGTTTCAAGACTGGCGACGAGGTGTTCGGCCTTGCGTACGGCGGCGCATATGCCGAGTACATTGCCGTCAACAGCAAGATGCTGCTGCACAAGCCTGATTTCCTCTCCTGGGAGCAGGCCGCCGGTATCCCGGAGGTGAGTTTGAAGGAGCACAACTGCCGAAGAACCCCACTTCTTTTCTACCCCCTTTCAACGGCATCACAACGGCGCGGTTTTTTCTCCTTCACTAACACTACGGTAGACCTGGATAACGGCGACACAAGCCCTCATTCTCGTTGGTGAGTTCTCAAAGGGCAAGTCTGTTCTCTGGCACGCCGGTGCCTCTGGCGTGTCCATCGCTGGCATCCAGCTCTCCAAGGACGCGGGTGCCTCCGCCGTCTATGCAACGGCCGGCTCGAAAGAGAAGTGCGACTTCGTCGTCAAGGACATTGGCGCCACTGCAGCTTTCAACTACAAGCAGGAGGACTGGGCCGAGAAGATCAAGGAAGCGACCAGCGGCAAGGGCGTGGACCTCATCGTTGACTTTGTCGGCGGCACCTACTTCCAAAAGAACCTCGACGTCGCGGCGCGGGACGCGCACATCGTGCTGCTAGGCCTGCTCGGCGGTCCGCAGATCGAGAACGCTAACATCGGGCCTTTGCTGTACAAGCGCATCAGGATCGAGGGCAGCACCTTGCGCAGCCGGGACGTCGAGTACCAGGGCAAGCTGAGGGACCGGTTGGAAGAGTACATTCCGCATTTCAAGACGGGCGCGCTGCAGGTCGTCATCGACACCGTGCTTCCCTGGGAGGAGATCCAGCAGGCCCATGCGTTGCTGGAGGCGAACAAGAATTCGGGGAAGATTATCTGTACCATCTCTTAAGTGCCGAAGAAGCCACTGAGCCTCCGTAGAGTGTCAAACAGACGCCAAGCTTGTCACATCTTCTCGAGCTGATGCATCGTCGGTGATAGTTGGATCCTCCCCCCGCCATTCGCGAGGGGCGGACCCGGTTGGATAACGACCGAGGCCCTTTGGCCAGCTCTGGCGGCCGCTGTCACCCATCAGCTTGGCTGGCGTCGCCACCCAACGGTACGAAGCTGAACGAGACGGTCTTCTCAGCGGTTTCCGAGTTCCCCTGGGCGACCACCAATGTGAACAAAGGCATTCGTCATTCGATTTCGCCTCGTGTGGCTGCCCCAGGTCATCTCGCAGAACCGCAGACGAGTAGGTTGACACTGACAGCACCTTGCCTCTTCGAGGAATGTCCACCTTCCACCTCGGTGTCTTATCACCGGTAAAACCCATCCCCGGGACGCTCGAGCATTCTGTGGTCTGGATGGCAGAGAATCCCCTCCTTTAGAGTTTTTGAGGCTTGACGCTTGCGGCGCTGGCGAGCTTCTCGCTTAGCTTGCTGCTTTCCCCAATTCTGTGGCATTCGCATCGTAATAGCACCCCGAAAACCTCGCGCCTTTCGTGGATCTTCGTCTGGCCCTGTCTGGTCCAAGTCTCAGCGTGTTCTGACTGGTTGCGGGGTGCATATGGCGGGATGTGAGACATTCCAAGACGTGGCGAGGCCCCCCCTATTTTCTTTCTCTGGGAAGGTCCTCTAGTCCTTTGGGAATTCCCCGTTGAATGGTCCGTCCAGTCCCTGGATTGCGACGTGCTTGGCCTTCGAGCCGGACTGGCAACGGATAAAGGTACGGTCGACGCCGCTAACGACCTATCGAGCCCTAGGCCCTGGCGCTATAGGACCATTCGCGCCCATCTTTGTGTCGGTACCGTCGCCCGCGCTCGTCATTTGCGGATCCAAAGAAGAGGATGAAGAGGGGAGAGGGAAGTAGCGCCTGGCGGCGTTTTTGTTGTTTTCCCTGTGCTGTTGGTGCAATCGTCTCCGTCATAAACTGAGTAGAAGACAAAAGCTGCACCTGGTCCGTCCTCCCACCGGGTCTGACTCTCTTGTCCTGTCTTTCCCATTGTCTCTGTGTCAGAAAAGTCCCATGATGCTGACTCTGCGGCTTCTCGTCCTCTTGGGAGTGTCGTGCCTGTTGAGGCTCACGGTCGCCCAGTCCCTGGCTGATGCTCCACCATGCGCCGTTAGTATTCTCACCTCATCTCATGTTTGCTTTTGGACGTATCTGGAAGTGAAGGCAGAAACTCTGCTTTGACCGCGGTGCACTGATCTGATGCTAACATACTGCCGACCTCCAGCTCAAATGCTTTGGCCAGGCGCTGGCCCAACCACAGTTCGCCAACAAGACACAGGCCCAGCTGTGTGTTGATGAAGGCTTCAACACCGCTGTCAGCGGGTGTGTACAGCCAGCATGCACCGTCATAGAGTCTCTGTGTAAGTAAAGTGGATGGTGGCTTATTGTTGCGAAGAGTTCACGAGGGATGGCTAACACTGTCGCAGCTTTCCTCAACATCTCGAGGACACTATGCGGCCTGCCCGAGGCAGACCATCGCAACGAGGCGAAGGTGACGAGTCTCGCCATGTTCGGCGTCGCGACCGTCTTCTTCGCATGCCGGCTTGCCGTCAAGGTCCTCCGGTTCTCTTCATGGGGATTCGATGATAGTTTGATGGTCATCGCATATGTATGGAAAATGTATCCTACTTCAGACGACTTTTACTGACATGAACCCCTCTCAGGCCTTCTTGATCCCATTCATAGTATTGATCCAATACAGTAAGTCGACAGAACACAACTCCAATATAGTCAATACTAACTAGTAACTTTAGTGATTCCTCAGGGACTTGGTCTCGACATCTGGGCCCTCAACGAAAACCAAATCACTTCTTTTCTAAGGGTCAGTACCTTATTGGTCACCGAGACCTACTAAGCATCATCCCTAACATTCGACAGCTTCTTCTGGCCGTACAAACTCATTACATTTTCATTCTGGCAATCATCAAAGCCTCCATTCTCTACTTTTTCCTTAGAATCTTCCCGGACAAGTGGTTCAGGAGGGCTGTCTGGGTGACACTGGCCTACGATCTCTTCGTCGGCTTCATCTTTATCGTCCTCAGTTTCGTCCAGAGACAGCCTACATGGCTCATCTGGGAGGGCTGGCGCGACAAGGATCCCCGCGGTGTCGTCCTCGATCTCAACAAACTGGGTCTGGCCCACGGCGGCATGAACATTGCGCTTGACGTGTGGATGCTCGTACTGCCCCTGACACAGCTTTACAAGTTGAACCTCAAACTGAGAAAGAAGCTTGGCATCATGGCCATGTTCTGCGTTGGCATCTTGTGAGTAGCTCTCGCGTTGACAAAGCCAAGGGACAAGGTTGAAAGCTAACATGGGTCCAGTCTCACTGTCGTCAGCATCATTCGTGTCAACAGCTTGGTGTACTTCGCGACGTCATCCAACGCCACTGCTGACGCGCGCGGAACTATCATCTGGTCCTGCATCGAGCTGTGCACTGGAGTAGTCGTCTCCTGCATGCCTAACGCACGACAGCTCTTGCGAGAGGGCACTCGCCAGTTCAGAGATGTCACCACCAACCTGACAGGCAGATCTGGAACAGGCGACTCGTCACGTCGCAGATCTCACAGAGTGCTCCAGGATCGATCACTCGAGTTGCGAGTTGCAGTCAACTCGCCTAGTGCTACGACGGCATTGGCTGACAAGAGCGTATGCAGCAGCGCGACCACGCCAAACACAAGTCATGCTGCCTCAAGTTTTGCAAGCGAGACAGATTTCAAGGTGTAAATATGGCGTCGGGTTTTTGGAAACACTGTGTATCATATGGAATTGAAATATCTGGCGTTTCTGGCTGGGGAATTTGGGGATCGGAAGTCATGTAGTATTGAATACGGAATACCCCTCGAGCTATCGGGAAAAGGCTCACCGAAGAACCGTGTACATCATAGGTTGCGACCTGGACTATCGTAAAAGAATCATGGGCTCAAGCAATCAAACATAAGCATTCCTCATCAACTCCTTAGTGCTCCTTGATCCACTTGAGCATCTGCTCATATGCGGTGGTCTGGGCTTCCTGGATTGACGCATCCTGGTATTCACCGACAACGGCAAAGCCTGGATAACCATCAGTATTATGTTTCGCCGACAATCACCAGAAACGGGGTCTTACCGTGAGGTACGCCAGGGTAGACTTGGACCTCGTGTTCCAAATTCGCCTTGGACATGACATCCTCACCGTGGGTGCGAACCTCCTCGGGGAAAAGAGGGTCGTTCTCAACACAAACCAAGGATATCGGTACTTTGATGCCGTTGAAATCGTCGGGGATGACGGATGCTCCGTGTGCAATGGCGCCGACCTTGATGAAGGGCCCCTTCTTGACCTCCCCAGCTTCAGCGTCAGCCGCCGCGCCCTGGCCACCTGTTGGCACACTTCTGTCGGATCCGAGGTGCAAAATGTATCGTCCACCGATGCAGTAGCCGACAGCATAGACGCCGTCACCGTTCTTGACCGCGTCACTGAACTTCTCCTTGCAACCGTCAACCACCTTGTAGAGGATGGGCAGGACCTTCTCCTCCGTCTGCCGCGCGAGCCACATATCAATCTGGAAGCTCTTTGCCGTCTCGACGATCTTGAGCTTGAAGGTGTCGAGGAACGACCCAGTATCCTCGGTGTCGTCAAATCTTGACGAGTTGGGCGCGGCATCACCATTGAACAAGTCAGGCATGACCACCACGAAGCCTTCACTCGCGAACTTGTCTGCCTGGATCTGGTTGTTCGTCGACTTGAGGCCCGTGCCGCCGGTCAGGAGGAGGAGGAGTCTGGAGGGCGCATGAGGATAGTCGGCGGGCTTGGAGACGTAGACCTGCAGAAAGTTAGCTTGGAATCGATGGCGCGCATAACGACAACGCTTGCGACGCATGGAGCTACTCACATCAACACCGTTGATCTTGATGATCTCTCCACTCGAAGACTGGCCAGCAGCTGTGGAATATCAGTAAGGCGCATAACGGTCAGATGCTTTGTCGGCGCACTCACGAGTCGGGCGGTCCGTCACGCAGTGCTCGCTGTGCTCTCCAGCTCCTGCAGTTGTGGTAGTCGGGCTAGTAGACTGAGCTGGTGTGTCGGCAGCAGAGGTGGCCTCTGTCGTGGGCTCAGTGACACTCTCGGATACCGTCTCGGCGGCATCGCTCTCGGGAGCTTTCGTCGCTACGTCGACTTGGGTCATGATGTACGGCGGGGTGTCGGGGCAAGTGTGGTTCTTAGGTATCACGATAAAGGTGGGGAGCTACAAGAAAAGAGCTGCGTTTGGAGTTGAAGCGAACGGCTGGTTGAGATGAAGGTAGGGCTAACTGGGTGGTTGCGACAAACATTGGCATACAAGCGAGTTGTCGGTCACGTCTCCCTTTGCACAGCCCTTCAGAGCGGTAAGTTAGTACATTACAGCGTACGTGTACAGGTAGCTCCGTGAGGTACTCCTCCAGGGATGACGTCTCAGCTTGATGCTGGTACCTAGAGCTGCCCCGCGAACACAGATGCCCCCGCTGCGCCTGTCGCTTGCTGAGGTAAGGTACGTGTCTGACCACTGGCCCCATCCCAGCATGTGAGATGGTGCAGGGGCCAGCTTACCTAAGGTCGGTAGCTAGGCAGAAAACGAACCCCGCCATCGCACCGGGGACGTGTAGTCATTAAACAGAACGCGTTCAGACGCGTCCTTGCCTCCCGCATCTCGCGAAGAACTTGCTGCACATACCTCACAACCCAACATAATCTTTAGCCGATCGAATTGTTCACGACCAGCATATACGCTTCGACTGACTTCATAATGGAAGCCGAATCCAAAATTACGAAGGGTGCCTTGGAGTACGTGTTTTTCTCTATTTCCCCTCGTCCTTTCTCCCCTATGGTACTGACAGAGAACTTTCACAGTGCCATCTTCAGTGATGGTGACAATGCCGCTTCCAGATTCCCCGTTCCTGTCCTCCAGTGCCTGCAGATCAAGCCTTTGGCCGCACAAGCAGGCGGCGGTGCCGAGAGATATCGCATAGTCTTGAGCGATGTGAACAACTACGTCCAGTGCATGCTGGCCACCCAAGTGAACCACGTCGTTCATGATGGTAAGCTGGTGAGAAACTGCATCGTGCGCATCACCCAATACCAGGCAAACGCTGTCAAGGGAAAGAAGTATGTATTCTTGCTCTTTCTTGCTGTAAAGGATGGCGCTAACCCCCCCTCAGCATCCTCATCATCTTGGGCCTCGAGGTGATCGAGAACCTTGGAACACCAGACAAGATTGGCGAGCCCCAAGCCTTCGAGGCCAAGGCCCCACCAGTCGCCAACACCACAATCGGCGGCCAGAACTTCTATGGAGTCAAGCAGGAAGAGACAAAGCCCAAGACCCAACAGTCGATACCAACACGAACCGCCGGAGGAGCCAGTGGCCAACACGGAAGCAACAACATCTACCCTATCGAAGCCCTCTCTCCCTATGCCCACAAATGGACCATCAAGGCTCGTGTCACCCAAAAGTCGGACATTAGAACATGGCACAAGCCTAGCGGAGAGGGCAAGCTATTCAGTGTGAACCTGCTTGACGAGAGCGGTGAGATCAAGGCCACTGGCTTCAACGAGCAGGTCGACCAATACTACGACTTGCTCCAGGAGGGAAGCGTCTACTACATCTCCAACCCGTGCAAGGTCCAGCTTGCCAAGAAGCAGTTCACGAACCTCCCCAACGATTACGAACTCACCTTTGAGCGTGACACACTCATTGAGAAGGCCGAGGACCAGAGCAACGTGCCGCAGGTGCGGTTCAACTTCTGCAATATTCAAGAACTGCAGGAGGTCGAGAAGGATGCAACTGTTGACGTCATTGGTGTTCTGAAGGACGTTGCTGAGGTATCACAAATTGTTTCCAAGTCGACTGGTAAGCCCTACGAGAAGCGAGAGCTGACCCTCGTCGACGACACCAACTACTCCGTCCGGGTCACCATCTGGGGCAAGAGCGCTACGGGCTTCGATGTCAAGCCAGAATCCGTTGTGGCCTTCAAGGGCGTCAAGGTCTCCGACTTTGGTGGCCGAAGTTTGAGCTTGCTTTCCTCCGGTACCATGTCAATTGACCCCGATATTACGGAGGCCCACCGTCTGAAGGGATGGTACGACTCGTCTGGCCGCAATGATGCTTTCAACACCCACAACAACATGGCAAGCATGGGCAATGCAACTGGCCGCAAGGACCAGGACAAGTCGATTGTGCAGGTAAAGGAGGAGAATCTTGGCATGGAGCAGCAAGACTACTTCAACCTCAAGGCTACCATCGTGTACATCAAGCAGGACAACTTCGCCTACCCTGCATGCATGTCCGAAGGCTGCAGCAAGAAGGTTACTGACATGGGCGACGGTACTTGGCGCTGCGAGAAGTGTGACATCTCTCACCCGAGGCCCGAGTACCGCTACATTATGTCCGTCAACGTCTGCGACCACACCAACCAGCTGTGGCTCAGCTGCTTCGACGACGTTGGCCGGATTATCATGGGCATGTCTGCTGACGATCTCATGGCCCTGCGCGAGGATGATGAGACAAAGTTGGCTCAGGCGTTCGAGGAAGCGAACTGCCGCAAGCTCAACTTCCGTTGCCGTGCCAAGATGGATACTTTTGGAGAGTCTCAGAGGTATGTGACGTCCGCTGTTCAGTGTGATCCAGCACAATGCTAACAAACACCGCAGAGTTCGCTACCAGGTCATGAGTGCCACCCAGATCGATTTCAAGTCGGAGGGTGCTAAGCTCGCCGACCTCATCAAGCAGTTTGGCATCAGCTCATAAGATTTGACGGCGCTGCTGTACGTTACGGAAAGAGATTTGGCACGGTTTGCCAAGCTATAGAAAATGGTGGCGGAAAGGAGCAGATAGGAGTGGATGACTAGAATCTCATGAGCTACGAGGCAAGGACTAGTGGTCACACAATTGTCAACGTAAATGTTTCGCACAATGAACAAAAACTTAATGGCAGACGAGATGACCATTTTGCTATGTTTCCTCTAGTCCTTGGGTTATGGAACCCAAGCCCGCCTTGATGCAAGTCGTGGAGAAAATGCCACTTGTGGGCTACAAAGCAATTCCCAATAAACCTGCTCTCGTAACGCCGGCCTAATGCCCACCATCTCACGTGGAAGCTCCTCGGATCAATGACAACAAATACCGTGCCTTCTCCAATCGCACTCCTGCTGTCCTTTGTCACCATGATCCCGTCTCGTGCCTTCATTACTTCATAAGGCTCGCATATCATCATATCTGGACCCCGGCATCAAATAGGGTGGCTTCTAGCGAGTCGGTTGAATGCCAGTCATGAGATCCTCATCCTCGATAGATGTCTCGAACATCTCGACATGCTGGCTGGACGAATCCTTTTGTGAACGCTTGGCCTCGCGGTCAATGTGCCTAGCGTAGTCCTTCGAAAACATGAGCCGGGCGTCGCTTGCCTTGGCCCATTTGTTGAGCGTCTCGATACGGGCATCGTCCGTAATCTTCCTCTTATACTCGGTGTGCTCAATCTCTTGATCGCGTGGGAGAAACGTAAGGCACTTCGCGCCGTCAGGGCTGGTCTCCAGCGCGCCGACAAGCATTCCACTGCTGATCATATCTTGGAGAAGCGCCTCTGTCTCGACGTCTGTCCCCAAACTCTTCGCTGTCTCTGCACTGAGAGTTTTCTCGCGAATCTCTGAGACGCCAATCTTCTGATAGACGTCTGCAAGGCCAAGAATCTGCCACTTTTGGTACGCCTTCACAACTTCCTTCAGCAGCGTTGTAGTCTGGTCATCGACCCAGGTTGGTGTACCTGCCTCGACCGCGCTCTTGAGCTCCTCGGCGTTGACAGTGGAAAATAGCGCGCCAATATCGGTGTACAGCTTCGAGAGTGAGGCGTAGTTCTTAGTGGCAGCGGGTGCGATGAAGCTCGGAGGAGTGGGGGTTTGGCCGAGGGTCAGGAGGCCTGTGAGAATCCATCGCTTGTGGGCGTCGGTCATGATTTTGCTCGTAGCTCCGTCCCTTGTTGGCCAACTGATGATTCTCTGGTATGCCTTGTGCGCATCAGCCCACCTCAGCTTGGCGGTGAATATCTGAGCGGTGACCCATTCGTGTTGCATGACCTCCTCCCGGGTGAGTTTCTGGCTAAGGTGTGTGCTTGTGTTGATGTACGAGGCGGGGGAGGCTGTCACATCGCAGAGGTAGGCTGGCTGGCTTTGGTCTTTCATTCCGGGGAGGAAAACCCATGGCTTCTCGACCAAGGGAAGCACTTGGTCAATGTTATCGGTCTCGTAGGCCATTTTGACCACTGCAACATGGTGGCTCGTGAGCACCGCGCAATCGGGGTCGAGTCTTCTGAGCACGATCGCGACAATCTCGATAGCTTGACGGGCCTAGGGAAGCAGAAATTAGCCATGCAGAAAGCATATGGCAAGCTAATTTGTCATACCGGGTAGAACTTGCAATCCACGACATCCTTGACCAGATCGGAAAAGGCATCACCAACGTAGCGTATTTGTCTCGGATCGAAGGACAGCAGGAACTTGAGGGTGTATTCTCGGAAGGCGTCGGCAGGTATGGAACGGCCGGTATCGTCGAGGCGCTTCAATGTGTTGAGAATCGCAAGGAAGGCAACCGAGTGCGTGGCGGGGTTCACGATCTGGGACATGGGTCAGCAAACGTCAAACGACGACAGTAGCAAGCGCCAACGGACCTCTAGGAGCTGAGGGGCATTGGCCACGACTTCGTTTCCCAGGTCCTTGAAAAGCCTCGAGATCTGTGCGATATGGTTTTTGAGCGCGCTATCGTAGACCTCATCGGACATGCCCTGGTCGGGTTCAAAGGAGAGGAGGGTGGCATCCATCTTGCCGTCGTGTTGGCGCCTTGCCGGGACCGAGATGCGAAGTGAAGTCGGCAAGCTTGCGCGGAGACCAACGGGACAGCAGCCGAAGAAGTCGGCTAGGTTATCGACGAGTGTTCTCTTGGAAGAGACAGGGACAGACTCGCAGGAAAGGCAGTGTAGTTTGTGAAATTTGGGAAGTAGTGATCGCGAATTTAGGTTGCGGTACCGGTTGGCAGCCTGGAGGTTATGGAAGCTTGATGGCACCCATAGTGGTCCTCCCGCAAGGAAGGTACAGTAGAGCTGGCGACCCGTGGTGGGGTGCCTTGTACGGTCCGTGCTCATCGTAGCTTATCCGAAGCTTCCCCAGTCGCTTGTTTCTCGGATAAACTGGCAATCCTTACTAGCTGCATTCCATTGCCTACAGGTTCCTTTTCTTACATAAAGCAAGGTCTGGACATAACTCGAATGCGGTAGGAACCCCAAAGGCCATTCGGAAGAAGTCACAAAATTGAGCTGGAAAGTGCTGATTTCGTCAGTCTCCTCCATACCAGCTGCTCCTCGGTAAGCAAGGTGAAGGAGGGATTGGTCGACACTAAGGTAGTGTAATTGAGCAGCGGGGCACTACCCACCCCTCTTACACCGAGATTTGGCAGTGTTATATGTGGTCATCGAATACTTCCAACAATAAAAAATACAGTCGTGAGGATAGTTGTTTGAAATTCGCTGAACTCGGAACGAAATAAATTCAAGAAGTGCATAGTCCAGTGATTGACCGTTGAGCCTGTGTCAAGTGCTTCATAGCTGAGATACAAGCTTGGGCAACCTGGTTACCCCGCCCCCACCATACTCCAACGAAAAACATTTCGAGATAGAAGTCTCTACTCTATCTACATCTGCCCGTATCTAGTGGAAAGCACACTCCGAGATCGGTCGCAAAACTGCGGTGCAGAGTTGCCAAAAGAGCACACTTGAGCAACAAGTATCATAAGCAAACATCAATTGATAACCGATAGCAATTCTGCCTCGCCGACAGCAGACACCCAGTCAGTGATTTTGTCTCGATCGCGGTGCCCTTCTCGCGGCTCACGTTGCCTCTCCTCTGTGATACCCAGCGACTAACAAACTGCAGCATACAATTCCTTCGACCACCTCCAAGATGCCTCTTCCTGACACCATTGAGCTGCCTGCAGCATTCGATGCCCACGTCCACGTGCGTGATGGCGACATGTTGAAGGTGTGTGAGCGCGAAGCCGCCCCCCTCAGGCTCATCCGAAAAAATGCTAATTATTTAGCTTGTTGCTCCTACTATCCGATCCGGTGGTGCCAACTCTGCTTTGATCATGCCCAACCTTACCCCTCCCGTGACCAGCACGAAGATGGCGTTGGACTATTCTTCTCGTATCAAGGAGGCTCTGGGAAACGATGAGGTGAAGCTGCTGATGACCCTCTACCTTCACCCTGACGTTACACCCGAAGTTATCAGAGAGGCCAAGAAGGCTGGAGTTGCCGCTGTAAAAAGGTAATTGAAATCCACTCAAGCCCTGTTTCGAGGTTTGGTCTGATCTGGATGTCCTTCAGTTACCCTGCCGGCGTCACAACCAACAGCTCTGCTGGTGTCGTCGACTACGATGCTTTCCACAAGGTCTTCAAGGCCATGGAGGAGGTTGACTTGCTTCTTTGCCTTCATGGAGAGTGCCCCTCCCATGCTGGCAGCGACATCACTACTCTGAACGCTGAGTCCAAGGTGGGTATGCCAGGCATTTTGTGCTAATGAACCGGATATCCTGACGCCGTCTCAGTTCCTCCCTACGTTGAAGGTTCTTCACAACAAGTACCCGAAGCTCAGGATCAGTGAGTTAAAGTACCCACGCTACTGAATGATATTGACTCGTGCAATAGTCCTCGAGCACTGCACAACTGCCCAGGCTGTCGAGGCCGTCAAGTCATGGTAAGTTCTTTTGGATGAACACTATGTAGCAAAGCTAACCATATTCAAGTGGTCCCAACGTCTCGGGAACGATTACTGTGTAAGGTTTCCACAACAGTTCTTCAAAGCTCGTAAACTGACAGCTTTAGTCACCACCTCTTTATTACCATCGACGACGTTGTTGGTGACGCCGTACGACCGACCCAGTCCCTGTTCCTCTCCCTGTCATCACACTGACCTTACTGCACATAGATGAACTTCTGCAAGCCCGTTGCCAAGCTTCCCCACGACCGTAGGGCCCTCCTCAACGCCGTCGTCAACAGCAACGGCAAGTTCTTCCTGGGCACCGACTCCGCCCCTCACCCCATCACCTCCAAGACGGGCCCCTCCAAGGCCGCCGCAGGTGTCTTCACCCAGCCCTATGCCGTGCAGTACCTTCTCACCGCACTCGACGAGGCAGTCGTCCGTGGAGAGCTCAAGGACGCGGATATCACTCTGGAGGCTATCGAGGGCTTCGTGGCGCACTACGGCCGCAAGTTCTACGGCGGCTTCGAGGACCAGAAGGCGGAGCGAATCCGCCTCACTCGTGGTGGTGCTGTCATCAACCAGGTCCTCGAGGGCTCTGGTATTCAGGTCGTTCCTTTCCGCGCTGGTAAGGAGACCTGGACCCTTCAGTGGCTGTAAAAAGTTCAACAATCATTTCGGCGGCCTTTGTGAGCAACAACTAGGAATAGGAAAAGAAGGGAACCCGGTGATGATTGCGAACCTCCATTGCTGGTGTATGTGTTCTATAATACATACAGTCTCTCAAGTCAACAAAGCTGTGTTTTTCTTTTTGGAAGATCCCCATCCTATCGTCATCTCATATCTCATTGCCAGTTGCCCCTGTTTCTCCTATTTAGGTAATCCATATTTCAGCCAAGAAGGGTCTTCAAAGACCTTAGTACCGAGATCCATTATCTCGTTCACCCATATCGTTCAGCATAGAAAAGTTGCTCGGCATTCCGAAGCCACCCAGGCTCTGGTGGTATCTGTGGGGGTGGTCGGCCGTTCGCTTCGACGGAGGGCCGATGGGACCCCAGACGCAAGGGGAAGCAGGAGAAATCATGCCCTGGGGATACGCAGTCCTCTGCTCTGCCTCGAGTGTCAATTTCGGCTTCATGAGCCGGTGCAGAGGGGAACTTACCTGCGGTAGTCCTGTAACCGCTTTCGTTCTGTCTTGTGGGCGACGACGAGCGCATGTGACCCTGCGGCCTTGCACCTTCGACTCGTCTCCATGACTGCGATGCTCTCGCTGGACTTGAGAGGTCCTTCTCAGACCTGATGGGTGACGGAAGTGCCCCTTGCTGGGGCTGGCGTACGTCGTAGAACGTCTCGGTGCCGCTTGCTTCCTGCTGTTGTTGCTGTTGTTGCTGGCGTTGCAGCTCCGCTTGCTGCTTCTTCCACCAGGTCGGCAGGCCATGAAACAGACCGAGGGAGTGTTGAGTAGCCTTGTCCAGCGGCATCTCGTGCTTGTACTTGCATCCTTGCTGCGTGAAGGCGCAAACGCCCTCGTGAACCCACTTGTCGCAGTAAATCTTGGGCTTCTTGGGCGGGGCGGGAGAGGAGGCAACGATGTGGTCGATTCTCTTCTGTAGCACAAAACGTCAGCGTGACTCAGACTTAGGCAGTCGGCATCAAAACACGGTAGGAGGGCAACAGGTGGAGGGTCATCATTACCTGAAGAGCATCAGAGACCGGTGCCGGAGACGGTGGAGGGGTCTGAGATGTTCAGCGCCAAAACTCTGGTGCTTGGAAAATGACGAGAGGAAGGAATACCATACCTTGAACGCGACCGGCTGGATGGTACCACCCGATGGGTTCTGGTGATCCAGCCCTCGCGGCGAGGGCAGTACAAGCATGCCCTCAGCAACGTGCTGCACAGCTGGGATGCCGACCAAGGGTGGGAGAGTATCAGCAGGAACGAGTCTGGTGTAGTTGCCGTTGCCGCGGTCGAGGCAGTAGGCGTAAAAGCCCGATGTGTCGACGCCTACGTCCTGACCTTGGTCCGTAGCAGGTTGATGCTCTGCGTTAGGGGCTCCCATAGCCATGTATTCAGGACCGCTGGTCAGACTGGGCGTGTGGTAATGACCGTGAACTTGGGCAGTAGCTGTCGTCATGTTCATACCCATTCGCCAGTTCGGGGCGTCGATGCTGCGTGGCGCGGGGGCGGCGTTGGCGAGCATGTGCCTCATCGGCGCCTGTTGTTGGTGATGGTGTTGAGGTTGGTAACGACGGAAGGAGGCAGGAGGCATCTCGCCAGGGTATCGGTGGTCCCTCGCCTGGAGAGAGGTGGATGTTTCCATGCCGCAAATCCGCACGCCACTGATTCCGTTCGTGATCGATGCTGACGGGTCAAAGTCTGGTGTCGTACCGCGCGTCGAGGTTCTTGATGCCGGGGGCGAACAAGACTTGTCGGAAGAGGAGTGAATTAACATCGAGTCCATACTGGGTGTGAGAAGAGAAAGTGAGAAGTTACGAAAAGAAGAAGGATGAGGAGAAGAGAAAAGGACAAGTCTAGGGCACGGTGGAAAGTCTTAGTCCTGGCAGGGTGCAAACGGGGAGATGCCAATACGTTACCCTATCTATAATGCCGTCGACCGCGATCAGCACCTCTGGAGTCGCCGAGGTACGTGATTAAAGACGACTTTGACGTTCTCTGCAGCATGCAGCACGAAGGCGGATTCCGGACCAAGATGCCAAAGGCTCAGACATGAGAGCCTGATGCCTAGGACGCGAGATCCTTTAATCAAAACAGTCGCTGTACCAGGACGAAAAAAAGATTCGTTGCCATCGTCGTTTGCTCGACCGAAATAAGGTCCGCTGCACTCATACGGTTACCTGCATTCTTGGTTTGTACCTCACCACGTGACAAACAGCTGTGCCTTCACTGTTGAACAAGTCAAACCATAGATTGATCCTGAGAAATATCGCACTGCGTTGATGCGACTGAAAGCAATGCAATGTCTATTGGCCTATATGCATGCATCATCTAAGCTAAGCTGTGTAAGCGTTAATGAAATAACTGGGCGAGAGGATTTGTTTGCAATCCTCTGGCTAATGTCCCATCCTTGCCGTCTAAATCCAAACCCATACGCCTGCCAGGTCGGTAGCAAATGTCATTATGTTCTGTGTTGCAAAGCTATCCTGTGTAGCTTCTCTCGTAAGACCTGCTCTGCTGCAGGTGTTCTGGCTTTCGCTGGCCAGTGTTGGAAGGTATCAAGAGCAAGTCGTAATTGTATCTCAGTTGTAAAAACTGGGCATTGAGGCAAAAGATGTCGCAGGCCGCAAGTGGCACAAGCAACTGCGTTGGGGTGCATCTGAAATGGGCCAGATGAGGTCTTTCGAGAAGACTTTTCTGCCTTATTGAAGTTCGCAGAATTTGGGAGTTGTGGCCCGGAGCCTGGAAGCTGTGCGCCAGACCCCGTACTGGAGATGTGGACATTGTCAAGCCATGCCATGTCATACTTTAATGGTCGGCCGTACTTTGGGGGTCGGCCTCGTTTTCCACCGTTGGCGAGCGGGAAGATCTGTAAGCCGGGCTGGACGGGGTTGGAGTATCCTGGGGGGTTGGTAGTAGAATACTGCGTTCCGTTTTGGTAGGCTCTTTGGGCTGCGATGCCGTGGAATCCTTGGTTGACTTGGCTGCCTGGCTGGAGGCCTTGGTTGGGGTAGCCTTGGATGGAGTGGCTTTGGATGTGGTGGTTTTGGTTTTGGTTTTGTTTGGGGTTGACTTTGGCGTCTTTCTTGGAGCTCGTTTTTGGGGGGTTGACTTGGCCGACTTTGACGTCTTGGAGGATGCCGCGGCGTCTCTCTTTGGTGTTTTCCGCGTAGAGGGCGTCTTCTGTGGAGTCGAAGAGTTAACTTGTTGTTTCTTGCGATTCGGTGTCTTTTTGGGAGTTGAATGAGGTGACGTAGACTGAGAAGAAGATTTCCTGGCTTTACCTTTGCTCATCGTGTTCCTGTCCTCTGGGTCAGTATCAGGCTCCTCGTCCTCACCACCCACGAAGTCCTCGTCGTTATCGGAACTACCGCTGTGGTCGACAGCAAGATCAGTAGCAATGGGGGCGTTCGTCTTGTAGTTCACAGCCTGAGGCGGTTGTTAGCATATCATGTCCATCAAATCGATGTGCTGACCAACCTGGCGGCGACGTCCTCCACGACCAAGAACTTCCTTATTCAACTCCGCTAGTCTTTTGGCCTCGGCCTCTCTCTCAGCAAGAATCTCCTCCCAAACATTAGGGTTCACGGTAGGTTCGTTCTCCTCTGCCAGGTTGTCCTCGAACCCGCCCTTGTCGTTAGCCCAGACGCGAGCGAACGAAAATGTCGATTCGGCGGATTCATCTTGGCCAGTGCTTGTTTGCTCGATATGAGAGCGATCGAGAAGTTTTTCAACACTTGCCTCATCGTAACGTATGATGTCCTTTTCGTTTTGGTCGTCGCTGAAAAGCGCGGTAGCTCCGAATTTGAGGATCGATTCCAAATCATCTGGCTCCCCTGTGTCGTCCATAGCCTCAATCAACACATGATCAAGAGCCATCTTCTTGCGGCCAATCTGCATGATCTTCTCCTCCGCGGAGTTCTTCGTCATGAGCTGGAAACAGAGAACCTTGTGCTTCTGGCCGATTCTGTGCGCGCGAGAGATGGCTTGAATATCCTGGTGGGGGTTGAAATCAGGATCTAGGATGATGACAGTATCTGCTGTTGCAAGGTTGATACCTACGCCTCCTGCTCTGGTTGAGAGGAGAAAGGCGAAGACTTCGGAATCCGGGGCGTTGAATGCGTCGATATGCTTCTGTTTCTCGTGGCTGTTGATCTTGCCGTCAAGACGCCTGTGCAAGAAGCCCAGGCCGTTCAAAAAGTCCTCAACGATATCCAGTTGATCCAAGAACTGGCTGAAGATGAGCACACGGTGTCCACGCTCCTTGAGTTTGGGCAACATGATACTGAGCAGCATCAGCTTGCCAGACGCAGAAACCAGGTTCTCATGCATCTTGACGTGGTCCACAGCCCTCTCCTCAATCGCATCGCTATACATGAAAGGATGGCAAAGACACTTCCGCAACTGCATGAGGATGTTGTTCAGACTACCACGCTCTTTCTTATTGATCTTGTCATCTGCAAAGATTGCCTTGATGAGGTCGGGGCTTTTCGCCATAATAGATTTGCATAGCTTCTCCTGAAGGATCGACATTGAGACTGGCACAATGATCTGCGCCATTGGAGGCAGGAACTTCAGAACCTGAGCTTTCGTTCGTCTCAAGAAATATTGCTTGATTCGCCCATGAAGTTCTGGCAGGTTCTGTGCGTTCAACTCCTGGTACTGTTCGTCCAACTTCTCAGCATTCTGCGTAGGGTCGATGAATTGCAACAAATTGAAGAGCTCTCGCTTGTTGTTTTGCAATGGCGTGCCTGTCAGGAGAAGTCGGAAGGGGAACCGCATCGCGCGCAATGCTAGGTACAGCAAGCTCTTGTCATTCTTGAGTCTTTGACCTTCATCAACGATCAACCCAGCCCACTGCACAGAGCGAAACAGGTTCCTCGTACGGTCGTCCTGAGCGGAGTCGTATGACATGACCACGACATGGGCCTTGATGTCTGACGAGCCGTTGGGGAAGAGCTCGTATTTGTAGGCTAGTTCCTGAGGTTGCTTGCCGCCATGATAGGTCACAACTCGAAGCTCTGGGGCCCATTGCTTGATCTCGCGGCGCCAGTTTGGACAAGTAGCATTTGGTACAACGACCAGAAATGGCCAACACTACACTCTGAGTTAGTCACGATCGCAGACTAGGCAGGGCAGAAATACCTTAGGTTCGCCTAGAGCCAGGGCAGAGATCAAGCTAACGACTTGAACTGTCTTCCCGAGTCCCATCTCGTCGGCAAGAATGACATTCTTGTCTTCGTGGTAGTTGTACAACAGCCAGTTGACACCTTCGAGCTGGTAGGCCATGAGATTGCCCCGTCGGATTGCTTTGGGCTGCTCGGTTAAAGCGACGAACTTTTCCTCCTTCCAATCATTCACTCGCTGTTTCATCTTGTGGTTCGTGGGACTGACGAAATATTTGCCAGTGAGGTACTCGTAGTAGGCAGCCTTGAACGTATTGTAGATCTCCCCAGTGTCTGGCTTTGGGGGCTTATCCCAAACGGCCTCATCGTACCCTAAGCCTTGGAACTTGACGTAAATCTTGTCGACACTCCCGATCCGCTCCATGTCGTCCTGCAGGCTTCGTGATCGTCCGTTCTTGACCTTGGCAGCGAGGATGACGTCTGTAAGAAGGTATTCCTCCGGGATAGCCTCATCAGTTGTCCATCTCAAACACAGATTTTGCTCTGCGTCCCTCTTCGCAAATGAATTCCGCATAGCTCCAGGAGCCATGTGAAACACCCAGGCCCCAGGCATCCAGGTACAGTGAAAGTATGAACAGTCCGCCCATTTGATGAGGTAGTCTTTCTCGTCTTCATAGAAGTCGCTGTATGTCATTCCGTCTGAAAAGGAGTCCTTCTTTGTAAGTCTCCAGGCAACCAAGGTCTGAATCTTGTGGGAAACCATGGCGCAATCATGGCACTTCCAGTCCACTGAGTAGTCAGAGAGACGTTGGTCACGGACATTGGATAAGTCGGTTTCCATCTGAGAAGACGGCAGGTGTTCATAGTGCCAGCCACGCTTGCATGAGGTGCACCGAAAGAGGACGTTTTCTGCATTGTTGACGAGAGCCGGGTCCACAGGTGCGATGGGATCCTCGCCTCCATTCTCAACTCGAAGCTTTTCTTCTTGCTTTGGCGTTCTCCTTGGCGAAAATGCTGCACAAGAACGTCCCGGCTTTTCGCATCCCTGGCAGTTGTGATGACGAGGGGCATGCTTATCCTTCTTGCCGTAGAAGCCAATGCAGTACTTGCACTGAAGGACGAAGTCTTCCGCCTCAACCTTCGTAACCAAGTGTTCTCTGGCTGATCTGTAGCCCAGGCAAACTTTGTGAAATGACATGGAGCAGCCCTGGCAGCTGATAAGAGGACCTTTGTTGGCGGCGGGCCCAACGTTGCAACTGCTGCAGATATCTGAGTGGAAAGTCAAGAATGGCGAATCATGTGGAAGTTGCTTGAAGACCTCCTTGACATTCATCACTCTTGGTGCTCCAACTGGAGCAGTGTCCTCGATGTAAAAGGATTCCTCGTCCATCGGGGCGGAGTCGAGCATGCTAGCCTTGTTTCTGGTAGACCTGCCGGATCGACGACGATCCTCAAACTCGATCGAAGAATCGCGTGATCTCGGTTTCGCTTCGGGCTTTGCCTTGGAGGACTTTGATCGTCTAGGCTGCTTGCGCCTGCCTCGGCCTGGCTTTGGTTGAAGATCTGATGTGATGAACGTGAAATCGTCGTCTTCTCCGTCAGATTGCTGAGGAGGGGGATCTTGGGAAAGTTCGTCCATGTCATCGTCGCGAGTCAGACTGGGGTTTCCGAAAGCCATGCTAGTGAGTGTGAGCTGCTTTTGAGTTCGCTCTCTCAGTTGTCGCTGTGGCTGTGAAGACTCGTGTCTTCGTGAACGAGTCCGCCGGCTTTCATCTTCATCGTCAGAAACAGCAGCATGGGAGTTTTGGCGGGTGCTCTGTCTGGTGGTCGTGCGTTGACGTCGCGAATGACGAGAAGAAACTTCGTCTTCGTCTTCATCATCGGAATCAATAATGGATGTGAGACGGGCGCTGCGCTGAACGACGCTTCGTTGACGTTTCGATTGGCGAGGCAACTCTTCTTCGTCAAGCTCCATGAGAGCCAGGTCCGCCTGAGAATCGGCTTCGGAATCCTCCAAAGTGTCCTCCCAAGATCGCTTCTGCCCGTGGAAGGCGCCAGTCTCGACCTCGGAGTCCACGTCGCCCTGCATCTTCTGAAGAGCAGATTCACCTCCGTCGTAGGCAAGAAGGTCTCCGAACGGTATCTCGGCGGAGTTAGCGTGATGCCCTTGAAGAGTTTGCGGTGAAAGATAATCATTCGCTATGTGCGGCCTTGCTTGATCCAGCTCCATGGTAGATGCTCGCGCAAGTAGGATTGGGAGGGTGATGTGCGATGAGAATGGTCTTGGAAGTAACCCCTAACACATTTCAAACACCTGATAGCACCGCTTTCTTCAGATTGGCAAATTTCCTGGACGAACCGATGTGCAGAAGTCGTTCAGGGAAGCTAGGAAGTAGGAAGTCTGAGGGGAAAATGCTTGAGAGAAGATATGTGAAGCTTGGATTGTTGTAGGTTGGAAGTGTAGATGTGGGAGTGAGAGGATGAACTGTGGAGAGTGGAGAGTGGAGAGTGGAGAGTGAAGAGGCTGTGAATTTATATAGATGAATAGAAGCAGTTGAAGAGGGCAAGAGCAGCAGTAAAAAAAGGAAAGAACGTTCGACTGAGAGAAAGTAGAAGAAAATAGTAACTCACAATATCTTGTCGTCCATCTGTAAACTCGACGCTGTACCATAACTCTGATTCGGGCCCTTCTACCTCTCCAATGACCTGGTCAACGACGTCGCTCTTGACGCTACGATATTGCGCGCATTCTTCTGGGGATAGACGTCGCAGAACAATTTCTATCCGGACTGGGCGAACTCGATCATGCGTAATCTCTTCGGGAACTCCTTCCGCAGCCTTAATGTTGGTAGACGCAGTATCCAGGCCGGCGACTGGTTTCGACATTATAGCAACAGGCGCCATCTCCTCGTAAGTGTCTATCGAAAGAAATGGGTCTTCTGGGTCAAAACCGTCTGAGTCTTGTATCGTGGCGCCCTGCGACAGCTGGTCTTTCGTCGCGGCATCGGTGGGGAATGCGCCGTCGAAGGTATCGATTGTAGCTTCTTCGACAATCTCCTCGTTGACGGCGGGGTCGGATTGGTCGAGGCCTATCAGGGCATCGCTTGGAGAGCCTGTAACAGACTGGACGATGTCGTCGTCAGCGGTGTTCGTGAAGTCCTCCATGATGCGACTGCTCGGAACGGGAAGGCATAGGGTCGGGGCGGGCGGGGTGTCGCGCGGACTGCGTCGGATATTTAGAAGTCGCTTTAAGGAAAGACTGGAAAGAAGAAGGCGAAAATGGAATGGAAGAATTGTCCTGCAAAGGCAGGGGATCGGTTGTGGGTGAGCGCACTTAGAGAAAGGACGGCCTTAGACTGGGAAGTCTTCACAGTTCGACGCGACGCTCGAAACCGCGTTGCCATTAAAGTTGAGCTGCCGTAGCGTGTAAAGCACGGGTACGTACCGCCAGCCCGCTCTTGGTGGGGTGGTTGCGCCGATGGAAAGGGCCCATCGAAGACTCGTTGGCCAACCAGAGAGCCAGGGTCTACTTACCGCTCGGGTCCCTGCTGCAAGAATGTGGCAGAAAAAAAAAGTTCCACCATCGAAGACTTGCGGTTTTGGCGCTACGACGTTTTGCACATTGTCGCCATGTTGGAAGACATCGACACCACTACACGTACCGAGGCCTGGACTTACTCCATGCATGCTATGCGATGAGTCAACTTCTGAGATGGAGCGCCGTTCGCCCGCATACAACGACCCATAGAGCTTTCCAGCTCACTGGCACCACCGGACAGGTGCGCCATGCATCTCTCTCAGGTATCCATCGGGGTCTTCGACAGTCGGCAAGAGCTGGATCCCCAAACGGTCGCGCGACAAGTCCGAATTCGAGAAATCGTCAGGATAATCGCACGAGACGCCCAGACTTCAAGCCCCGGCTGACCGAGTCTCGCGGTCGTAGCCCGAGCCGAAATATCCCATCGAAGCCGGATGCCTTTGCCAACAAATTCAATGGCGCGATTGGCGGTCGCGAACGTCATTTCAAGCCGAAGAAAGCATTTCAAAAGATGCAAGAGCGCGAGCAAGAAGAAGAGGAGGGAGGGAGAAAGTCAAGGAGCAAGCGGTTCAACAACCCAGAGTATTCGTTCGGGAAGAAGAGCATGGTGTACCAGCTCAACCGCGGCGAGTTGAAAGATAAAGTCTCCAAGCTATTGGACAAGGAGGGGATGAACGAAGATAAGACGGAATATCCGCGGTCAGGCTCCGCATGGAGAGATCTCAATCGGGACGCCTCGAGGCCCAGAAGAGATGGAGGTTGGAACTCAACAAGTCAGAGGAGGGATGGTGATTGGAACTCGGCAAGACCTAGAAGAGATGGTGATTGGAAATCGACAACTCCCAGAAGAGACGGTGGTCGCGATTCGATGAGACAGATGAGAGATGGCGTAAGGAGGGAGTTTGAGCGAGATGGTGCTGCGCCCCGGAGACAGACTCGAGGATCAGACGACGATTCTTCTGCCAACAGACCGGCCGAATTCCCACTGTCGATTCAGTACACGACAGCAGCATCGCAGTTTCTATTTGGCCGATCGGTGGTGAAGGCGGCTCTGAGAAACTCTCAGCGCAAGCTTTACAACCTGTATGTCTACCAGGGGAGCAACAAGAAGGACACGAAGGACGACGCCTGGATCGTGTCTATGGCAGAGAAGAAGGGCATCAAGGTAAAAAGCGTCTACGAGGCCGATCAGAAGCTGCTGGACAAGATGAGCAAGGGTAGACCACACAACGGTCTTGTTCTCGAGGCATCGCCTCTCCCTCAGCTGCCGCTTGTCAGCCTCGGGGGTTTGTCGGCCGATTCAAACGGCTACGCAGTCTCTGTGGCTCACCAGTCCAAGGAAGATCTCGAGATCAACGGCACGGAAGGCTCCATCTCTTGCAAGCAGGGTCAGTCTCGGCCGCTAGTCCTCCTGCTGAACGAGATTTTGGACCCTGGTAACTTGGGTGCGATTCTTCGTACAGCTTGCTTCCTTGGCGTGTCAGCTGTGGCCATTACAGATCGGACATCCTCTTCTATCACATCCACCGTCTTGAAAGCCGCGGCTGGGGCTGCGGAAGAGATTAAGCTCTTCACTGTTGAAGACCCAGGGCGGTTTTTGAGTCTCTCGCAAGAGGCTGGCTGGACGTCATACGCTGCCGTTGCACCCACGCTTGGGTCGCGTTCGAACCGTCAGTGGACTCCGGACTACATCGAGGACTTCAAGCCTCTTGAAAAAGAGCCTTGTATCCTCGTTCTCGGTAACGAGGGCACCGGTCTTCCCTACGACATTAGGAAGAAGGCGACGCATGAGGTCACAATTCCACGAGTGGCTTCAACCGCAAGCTCTGTGGACAGCTTGAACGTGAGCGTTGCTGCGGCGCTGCTCTGCAACTCGTTTTTGCGAGGAGTGCGCCAGAAAGATCCTCTGACACTGACCGAGAGGCTGCACATCGATGCTCGTAAAGAAGATGGTGGAGAGACTCTGTTTTGATGCGGAGTTGGTGCACAACAGGAAAAGCATAATGCCATGATGTAACATTACAATCATCTGTAAAACTACCATGTATAGAATACGAATACCTCTCGGCACAAATGAATTATTCTCTTCTGGCAGCTTGACTCTATTGTGATATATGATGGTCTGGGACAGTCTTGCACATAACATGACATCTGCAAGGCACCGGTAAGTGCCCACTCGAAGTACTTCCCGTCGTGCATGGATTGGCGATCTCGGCTGCTGCAAGGCAAAACCAAGTCGTCGGCGCAGGCGTTTCCCAGCCGGCGCGCCGGTCCTCTCAAGCTACCCTGGTAAAGCTTAGACCAGACCCCTGACGGCGGGCGAGACATCCGGCTCTTCCCCTGAAGCTTGACAGACCCGGCGGCTTTTCGACCCGCCCTGGCCCTGGATGACGTATCTTTAGCAGCTGTCATCCATGCCCAGCCACCTGAAAAAAAAAAAGAACATAAGGTACAAGGAAGGGGTCCTGTCAGCAGTGCAGCACCTCTGTTCAACGGTCGATAAGATCAGCAGCAATCAGCTTCTTTTCCAAGACAAAAATACGGGAAAAGTCCACGCAACAAACGCATTGTTGAAATCTGATACCGCTGGCGACGTGTCTCGCTGCGGGACCACAGACTGCCTCTCGGGATCAGACACGAATACAGGGCGGTGAGGTTTCGCGAGCCCAAGCAGCTCCATCATCTTGCAGGTTGCCCAGTCGCCCAGCCACCGCTTTCCCGCACCGACTTGTCCCACGAAACCTCAAGACGCCCGACGCCTCTGCAATTTCCCGCCAAAGAACTGCACGCTACTTGAAATCCGAGCGACATCTCTCTGCAGAAAGATCGTGGCTCACGCCAAATCTCCGATCGACCTCACACTCATCAGTACCTCAGTCTAACTGACATCGACCAAAAGCACACACTCAAGACTTGGCGTCCGGAGCTTGGGCCGGCCTGTCACTCACCTAAACTAAACACACGAACAACACACTCTGAAAACTCACACCAGACGACGACTTCTGGTCTTGACGAAGGCTTGGCCTCACAGTCGTCACGATGCGGGCCTTCTCACTTGTCGGCCTTCCCTCGTCTCTGCTGCTGCTCATTACAGCCCATGTCGGCGCAGAGAACCCCACGGCAATCCGCAAAATGTCACCAAACGCCGGCGAGAAGCTGCTCCCCGACGATCTTGCTTTCGCCAAGGATGTCTTCGATACGCCGCTGACACCTCACGAGAAACTTCTTGCTGCCCGGATGGCCGACGACGCTTTCCTCTACAACGCCTCCTACCCGCATCGCCCGCCCTTTGCATCACACAGCTCCCAGGCTGGTTTGGGCTGGGAGCATTTCCGCCGGGCTATCGACGTGTTGAACCTCCTCGAGAAAAGACAAGCTTGCCCCACGAAGATGAACAGCTGTGAGACCATCGGTTCGCCGGATAAGTGCTGCATGACCAACGAGGTGTGTGTGAAGGTGGTGGATGAGAGTGTTGGAAACGTCGCTTGCTGTCCGGCGGGCGCATCTTGCAACGGACCTGTTGGAATCTGCCCCATTGGCACAACAAGCTGTGCGGCGGATGTTGGCGGTGGCTGCTGCATTCCGGGTTACGTCTGCCAGGGTTCCGGCTGTAAGTACACTTTCGAACTCCCAAAGGACTTTGACTGACTTGAAGAAGGTGTGCCTAGCCATATTGCCACGGCCACGACGGCAACGGCAACGGCCACCAATGGAGGTGGCGGAGGAGGAGGAGGAGGAGGCGGCGGCGGTGGTGGAGGCAGCACTGGAGGAGGAGGAACTGTTACTTCAGTCCGGACCGTCACTAGCACGACCGTCTCGACGACGACACTCGCGGATGGTAGCACCACGACCGTGGTCATCATCGTCACAGTCACGCAGCGGCCCGGAACCGTTACGACGACCAGCACTTCGACCTCCACCGAGACGCCTGCAAACCCTACAACATCCCCGGCAACTACGGCGGTCAGCACTGGCGGCGCAGTCCCTCCCTTCAGACCGACGTCCACCACCGAAGGGGACACCAACACGGCACCTTTCTGCCCGACAGGATTCTACGCCTGCCTGGCTCGCGCTGGTGGAGGCTGCTGCCAGACTGGACGAGACTGTGCTACTACCTCATGTCCGCCCACGCCCTCTACCACCATCATCTCCAACGGAGCGACCGTCATCGTGCCTGTTACCGACGTTCCGGCCTCGGCGACAGAGACATGTGCGGGTGGTTGGTTCTTGTGCGGAGAAGAGGGAGGACCTGTCCCCGGCTGCTGCCCCAGCGGATATGCGTGTGGGACCGCGAGCTGCACCACCAGCTCATCAACACAGACAGGAGAGATACAGAAGCAGTTCCCCAACTCTGGGTCGAAAGTTGCTGCATCCTTTGCGGTTGTAGCATTGTCAATGCTTGCTGCGTTGTTTTGAGGTATACACAAGATGCATAGGGCGGCGTTATGAGGATCTTTTTACGAACGAAACGAAACGAATGGCTGAATGAGAGATGGGTCTCAAGAATCGAAATTTGCATAACACACGAAGAGCATCAGTCGCGAGATGGGTCATTAGTACAATTCAAAGTGTAGACATCCTGATGAAAAAAGCCATATCTTTTTCTTGATTGCGTTTCTTCATCTCTATATAAGCAAGATGACAGCAGCAAACGCGATAACACCCGCCACATGCAGATTGCCAGATAGGGTGGTTCCCAAATTGCCTGGTGTGCTGGTCGAAGTAGGACCAGCGGTTCCTGATGGTGATGAACCAGACGTGGACGACGGCGAAGAAGAAGTGTCTGGCACACCTTCAGCAGACATGACGCGGTCAAGCACATGAATGAGGCCGTTGTTTGTTCTAGCGAGTACAATGTCAGAGGATGGCTGCTCTACAGCGGGGAGTGCAACTTACAAGACATTGGGCTGGATGACCTTGGCGTCGTTGAACCAGATCTGATCATCCTTCACCGTGACGGTAACTGTGGCGTTTTGGAGACTGGTATACTTCATGCCGTCGGTCAGGAAGTTGCTGTATGCCACCTCGGGCAGGGTGTGGAAGCTTAGTCGCACGTTAGTTTGGAAAGCTCCAGTCCAGGAGACCAAGACTCACAGCAATGCATCCGTGAGAGCGGTGTTGTTGAGGGTTTTCTCCGGGTTGCCCGCCGCATTGAAGGCGTCGGTGCTGGGACCCAGACAGGTGACGTTGGATGTCTTGTCGAGTTCTTTCCACAAGCTGACCTTCCGCAGCGCCGTGTCGAGGCCAGAGAGGGTGTCTGAGAGTTTCTTGATCGTCGTGGAGCAGACGTCTGGCGCCTCTAGAACACTGCATAGTTGGTCAGCACAGCCTCCGACACGATGGCTGAGAGAAACCCACGTGTTGACGACCTGGAAATAGCCGCCGTCCCACACACCATCGATTCCCGTCAGCTCCCCCTTCTGGCCCAAGCCAGCCTGCAGCTCCGACTTTTCACCCGAAGTCCCCTGTCTAACCCGGAATTTGGAGGCACTGGCACTGGTATCCTTGGAGATGTAAAGCACCTGGCCGGTAGCTTCCGCGCCGAACTGGCGGAGCAAGGCGGGGCCGGGGCTTCGCAGGTTATTAGCCTTGTCTGTGAGCTTCGTCGGAACCGTGAGGCCCTTTGGGACGCTGAAGTTTGCCGAGGTGAGAGGAGCATCCAGGGTATGATACTGGAAGATGCTCGAAAGCTTCTCGATCGGCAGCTGGGATATGTTGGTGGCGTTATTCTGCTTCACGTACGTCTCGAGGGCTTCGTTTGTTGGCACCAGGACGGTAGCACCTCTCTGGGCGTTGGTAGCGATGAGACCCGGTGCATTCTTCAAGATTGACTGGAAGCTTGAGAGGTCGGTATAGTTGCCTAGCGCATCGATCAGGCTCTGCGTAGAGGCCTGGCGCTGCTCGAGACCGCCCCATGCTGAGGCTAATGGGGTGTAAGCAATTGCCAACGTGTAGATCTGGAGGAGATGCATGGTTGACGAAGGTACCTTCCAAGCTCACCGCACAAGGAAGACAAAAAATCCCTGACGACAAGAAGGCTGCAAATAGAGGGAGGAGGACAGCTTTAAAGTCTTCGGGCGCCTCTGAGTACGTCGTCAGCCGCAAGACTCTTTGCTACTCACATTCGAGCTGTTTTGCTGGTGGCCTCCCCGCGACCTCGCCATCGCCCAGACAGATTCGCACGCCAGCCCGAGCATGGCCAGCTGCAAGGAGGCTAGCTAGGGCGGGCTTGGCGTAGCGAAGCCCGAGAAGACCAGCGAATCGTCCCGTTTAAAACGGAGCCTCATGGCTCGTAATTCAGGGTTCAAAAAGACAAACGTTTGATGTGCATGGCCAGGCTTGCTTATGGCTGAGGTCGGGCAAGTCTCCCTGTGTTGCAATGTCTTGTCAGCTGAAGACCTGCGAGGCAAGCTTCAGCGCGAGAACAATGAAAGTCGAGGTCGTTGGGATGGCGTATCGTGCAGCGGAGCACGCCAGCAGTAGGGCTGAAGTCGGAGGCGTCGAGTCCGGCGAAGTTTAGCATCATGCTAACCTCGCAGGCCCTTAGAGTGCGTTGCTGGATTCAAGGTGATACAGCCGAGTGGATAAGCAAGACTCCATCGAAAATAGACAGAAAGGTCTGCATTTGTGTTGGATGTCTTGAGCCCTGTCTTTCATCGTTTGATGTTGCAAGCAACCTTCTATGCAGTGGCTCTCACAAGAGCGGCCGTGTCAAGATGATCGTCGGGGTGTCTTCCGCTTGGAGAAGCATCCACATGGATGAACAGGCTAGATCATGCTTCGGCAATCAAGCTTAATTCAGCTGGAAAGAAAGTCCGGGGTAAGGGGGTTTGGTACAAATCTCTGCGTGCTCTCAACTTTCTCAAGGGCAGAGGCAGATCTGCCCAAGTTCGTGCTATTTGCTCTTGATAGACACTTGACGATTGGGTGACGGCCATATCCGTAAGAGTCCTTGCTAGCTGGGCAGTGTCCCATGGCTTCAATCGTCACCTAATACTTTGTTAAGGACGATAAGAGTAGAGAAGAATGCAAATGACGGACAGGGTCGTCCTGAATATTGTTCGAGTAGCATGTTGTGGAATATAGTACGTCGCACACGTCTCGAGTACCTGCCTACGATCGCTTCTTTTCCGAGCGTGGTGGGATGGCAAGAGGGAGGAGCAGAAAGACGGCGATGTATGGCTCCCCCGGGCTCCACGTCTTGCGCCCGAGCTTAAAGAACCATGCAGCTGATCCCTGTCGATCCAGTCTCTAAATGGAAAGAAATGCCCCCCGGTGCAACTCTGTGCGAGAGCTCCCCCTTCTCTGACTGGTCAATGACAGCACATCGAGTCACTGATTGACTGTGCCGCAAGATCAATTTCCGCGGTGAGATAGTCGGCCACCAAAGCTCTCGTTCGACATTCTCAACCAACATCGTGTCCCTTTAATAGCGCATTTTTGACGGTAATGACGGCAAAATTCTGACCCAAGCTGCCAAGCTCCGCGTCAAAAGGGCATGGTGTCGTACGAAAGATCCAAACTTTGTACGGCGCACCCGCGACGCCTTCCCGTTTGGCCGTGGCCAAGATGGCAGCCCACGCATTCGCTCCTGCACCAACCCATGATGCTGCACGAACAAGGCGAGGGAGGTAAGGTACGCAGATTGGGAAAGGTGCCCAGCTGTTTAGGCAGACAATTCGGCAAGCGTCAGGCACCTTGTGATTTGGACTGCTGCTTCCCTTGGCAACGAGTCCATCGTCGGCCAATTTCTTCGTCCTTCTCCCACTTTTCTGTTGTCTTCGCCGTCGTCCTCTTCTTCCAACATCATCTGTTCATTCCCAACCCACAGTTGCCGTCACGAATTACACTACCAAGACCTCACGCATTTTCATCCCCAATACCCATATCGAGGACGTTGATATCATTGAACCCACCATTAAACAAACTTTTTGTCTTTTTGGTATCCGACACCGCAATTGCAAAGCTCCTCCCACACGAACAACATGAGACAGACGACTATCCTCTCCGGCCTCACGGCCTTTCTTCCGTCCACGGCCATGGCCTTCTACACCCCGAGCTTCCTGGGCGCCCGTCAGGATAAGGCTCCCTACCAGGATGTGGTTTGCAAGCCCGAGACAACTGGCCAACTGCCCCCTTGTGTCCAGATTGAGAACATTGAGGTCGCCTGCAAACCTAACGGTACCGACGCCGTTTACTACGAAGCCCATGCCCAGTGCATGTGCGGCGGCTCCTTCTTCGCCGAGAAGCTTGCCTGCGAACGTTGCCTTTATGTCCATGGTCTGAGGAGCGAAAGAGACCTGGCGTACTATAGTGGCATTCTGTCATCAGCCTCCAACGCTCTCTGCACCGGCACTCCCACAGCCGTCTTCGCCAGCGTCTACTCATCTATCCAACAGGCTGCCACTCCCGTCACCACCGGGGGCACTGCCACTAGTGACCGCGCCGTCAGTAACACGGCCATCTCTTTGTATTACACGGCCAATGGTCCCCAAGGACCCGGCAGCATAACCGGAGCAGCTGTCAGCGCGACGGGCACCGGAGGTGAGACGACCGCCGCCGAGTCCACAACCGCGGAGCCCACTAACACCGCTACGACCCGCTCAACATCGAGCAACTCGGCTGCCACCACCTCGGCCGGCTCCGGC